GGACGCACCCGGGTCTGCAGGCGCCCAGGGAAGGGCAGGGGGTGTGCGTGTGCGTGTGCGCTGGGTGATGCCTGCGTGTGCTTGCGAGGGCAGCGAGGAGGAACTGCTGAAAACAAGCGTCACTCGCCTAGCTGCGCCTTTCTCCCGCGAAACACCCGGCTGGAGACCTGCTGAAGGAGGAGGCGAGCTGCCCACCAGGAAACACGCCGGACCCGAACCGGCCTCCTCCTCACCTTTGCCTGGGCTCGCAGGAAAAGTCCCTACGGTCCTGGCTGACCATTCCCACACCTGTGCTACAACTGCTCATTAAAGCTTCACTTCCACCTTCTCCCGCAAATGCGCGAAGGCCCCACTAAACTACTGTTTAAACCAGCCTTAAGAAGACAGACAGGCTCGGGCCCACAATGCTGAAATACTCATCCGAAGCGGTGTCACGCTTGTCTTTATTTTGAAGATTATGTCAGCTTTCTTCTTTCTATAGGAAGCAAGGAGCAACTCTTTGGGCCGTTTCTAAATATTCCCCTAATATCATATCTCTCTCGTCTGCATTTTAAGTCCTGTCTATGTGCAAAAGAATCAAGTAGTTCAGCGCTTTAAAGTTCCAACACTATCGGTGAAAATCATTTGCTTTTTCAGTATCCGTAGGAATACATGCATACATGCCTCATTTCTTCTTCATGCCAGCCAGGCCCTTAGACTGTGTTCTGATATTTCCAATTCAGAAATTGTACTTTTCTTGCAAGTCAGTGGTGACTGAATTTCTAGGAGATTTAAGCTTTAGCTGTTTTACACATACACACACCCACAGGCAGACTGGAGGTCTACTTCATAGCAGCTAAATTCTCTCCCGGGCCAGTTTCTGATATAACAGAATTTTTATTTTGTTTTTAAGTCCCCCGATTTTCCATTCCCACAACACGAACAACACCCCATAGTATTTCTTTCTCACTTTAACTTTGGGCCGAAACTCCTGAACTTTTAATAAAGAAGGAGCGCCAGTTCTCAGTCTTACAGATTCAGAGAACAGGACTGCAGCTGCCGAGGTATTAATCAGATCGGTTAAAGACGACCCTTTTCTCGAGGGAGTTCGCCTCTGACATTACCTGAAGGAGTTTGTCTCTGACATTACCTCGCTCTAAACCTCTCGGGGAGCTGGGGGAGAGAGGGGAGGGGAATGATTTGCCTTCCAAAATGCTTGGAGAAATGTGAGTCTGCTGCGAAGGGGAAATGTCCTTTTCATGTGTCCTCCCTCCTTTTCTCCACTCACCCTCCCCGCTGGGCTGTGTGTCTGTCCGTCTGGAACGGATCTGTCTGTCTAAAATGGGCCTGGAACTCCCTCCTGTGTTGGGATTAGGTCTTGGGGGACCTGGGGTGGAGTTACACTGCTTGCCTATTTTCATATTCATTAGAAATGGGAGGTTGCACCAGGAGCCCTGCTGAGCTTCAAGATATAAAAGCAACTTCGGGTTCCCCTTTCAAGACAAGACAAATCAAAGGCTCAGAGGCAAAGCAGCTCCTTGAGCTCTGAAGGTCTTTCCCTCCCTCCTTCCCTCCCTCCCTCCCTCCTTCCCTTCCATCTGCTCACCCACTCTCCCTCCCTCCCCTGCTCACAGTCTGGCCTCTGTCTAGGGAAGAGGCTCTCAAGCAGCCTTAGATGATTATGGATTTTCTGAGCGAGAAGTTTGCCCTGAAGAGCCAGCCGAGCAAGAACAGTGACTTTTACATGGGAGCAGGAGGCACTTTGGAGCACGTTATGGAAACTTTGGACAATGAGTCCTTTTACAGCAAAACGTCAGGCAGCAAATGCGTGCAGGCCTTCAACCCTCTGCAAAGGGCTGAGCATCATGTGAGGCTGGAGAGAACCTCACCCTGCCAGGACAATAACGGTGAGTCTCCATCCTAGGCTTATTCGCACTCTTGCGCTTCGCCCTCGCTGGAGGCGTCCCGGGCAGGCCAGGGCTCCTCCAGCCCGGGGAGACCGACGGGAGCCTCGCAGCCTTTGGGCGCTGGTACGTGAGGCGCTGTCAGGTAAAAAAAAAAA